TGATGAGATTCTGTGGGATAAAGGTAGGCCTTAAATCCAATGGGAGTGTCACTGTAAGAGACAGAAAAAGACACAGAGATATAAGAGAAGAAGGCATAAGACAATGGAGGCAGGGATTGACTTTATGTAACTATGATCCAAAGAATGACTTGGGCAACCAAAGCTGAAAGAGGCAGGAAAGGATTTGCCAGACTCCTCGAGAGGAAGCATGCCCTGCTGATACGATATTGGGATTTCAGACTTCTAGTCTCTAGAATTGAGATAATAAATTCCTGTTGTTTAAGTCACCAAATTGTGGTCGTTTGTTACAGTAGCCCAAGGAAACTAATATACCTCCTCCATGCCTTGAAAATTCTATTATGCCCCTTTCTAGTCAGTCCTCAGTCCTCAAAGGCATGTAGTTTTCTTATTTCTATCACCATGGATTAGCTGTGCCTGCCTTTGACCTTAATATAAATGAAATTATCTGGAGCATGCTCTTTTTGTATCTGTTTGGATTCTTTTGATCAGCATAATGTATGTGAATTTCATGTCATGTGTATCTGTATTATCCTTTTTATTAGAGTGAAACTCAAATAGCTTGAATATACCATCATTTGTCTATAGATACTGTCTATAGAATATACCATCATTTGTTCATAGATATTCAGATTGTTTCTTCCTACTCATATTTTAGACATATATTACATCTTTTGTGGCTGTCACTGGTTTAGAAGTTACAGATTCTGTTATTGTTTTTGTAGTTGGGACCTTAAAGTTATAGTAATGACATTTTAATTTACATTGGTCTTCCTCACTGATAATGTGGAAACTCTGAATGCTTTAACTTTGGTTTCCTTCTCAAGTCTTCTGTGTTATTTTTGTGAATATAAGATATTTATTTTAAAAACTTGAAAATCATGTGTTTTCTACATAGTATTCTTTTGCATACAGACATGAACGTATTTTTCAATTGGTGTGATCACTATTGCTTCTTGCAATCTACTTCCTCTGGGTTCTGTTTTATTTTCTCCAATATTCAGAGTTTAATATTTTAGCTAATGCTTTAAAAAATTAAGTTCTTTGCCTTTACTTTGGCTAAAATATCTTCATTTTGCTCACATTGTTAAACTATAACTGCTTATAGAATTATAGTTTGATAATTTTTCCTCAACATGTTGAGGATAGTATCTCAGCTATCTAACTTTATTTTTTTCTAAGTCTGCTGTCAAAGTTTTATCCCTTTCTAGATAATCTGCTATTTCTCTCTGGCTTGACTTTATTCTCATGGTATGGAAATGTACTGTATTTAGATGTAGACTTATTTATTTTGTTCAGTCTCCTAAGTTTTAATCTAAGAACTCATGTCTTTAATTCTGGAAATTAATCAGCCATTATCTCATTGAATAGTGTGCTTTATTCCTTTTTTAACATATGCTTTTAAGTTCAGGGGTACAAGTGCTGGTTTGTTACATAGGTAAACTTGTCTCATGGGGGTTTTCTGTACAGATGATTTCATCACCCAGGTATTAAGGTTAGTACCCATTAGTTATTTTTCCTCATCCTCTTCTTCCTCCCATCCTCTGCCCTCCGATAGGTACCAGGGTCTGTTGTTTCCCTCTGTGTGTCCATGTGTTCTCATCACTAAGCTCCCACTTATAAGTGAGAACATGGGGTATTTTGTTCTGTTTCTGTTAGTTTGCTAAGGATAATGGCCTCCAGCTCTATCCATGTCCCTGCAAAGGACATGATCTTATTCTTTTTTAAGACTGTATAGTATTCCATGGTGTGTGTGTGTGTAATATATATAAAATATAATAATCTATATAAAATATATCACATATAATATATAATATAGCATATGATACATATATATTTTATATACCATATATGATATATATCATGTATATTATATATTATATACATTATAATATATAAGTAATATATAACATATAAGTTATATATTATAAGTAATATATAAGTATAATATATAAGTAATAGCATTGAATATAATATATTTTATATATATATATAACATATGTATCACATTTTCTTTATCCAGTCAGTTGTTGATGGGTATCTAGGTTGATTCCATGTCTTTGCTATTGAGAATAGGGCTGCAATGAACATATGTGTGTATGTGTGGGATACTGGGTTGAATGGTATTTCTGTCTTTAGGTTTTTGTGGAATTGCCACACCATCTTCCATAATGGTTGAACTAATTTACACTATCACAAAGAGTATATAAGCGTTTCTTTTTCTCCACAACCTCACCAGCATCTGTTATTTTTTGACTTTCTGATAATAGCCATTCTGACTGGTGTGAGATGGTATCTCATTGTGATATTTATTTGCATTTCTTTAATATTCCGTGATGTTGAGTTTTTTCATATGATTGTTGGCCACTTGTGTGTCTTCCTTTGAGAAGTGTCTGTTCATTTCCTTTGCCCACTTGTCAATGATTTTTTTTTCCTTGTGAATTTAAGATCTTTATAGATGCTAAACATTAGACCTTTGTCAGATGCATAGTTTGCAAATGTTTTCTGCCATTCTGTAGGTTGCCTGTTCAGTCTGACGATAGTTTCTTTTGTTGTACAGAAGCTCTTAATTACATCCCACTTGTCAATTTTTGCTTTTGTTGCAACTGCTTTTGGCATCTTTGTTATGAAATCTTTGCCTGTGCCTATGTCCTAAATGGTATTACCTAGGTTTTCTTCCAGAGTTTTTATAGTTCTGGGTTTTACATTTATGTCTTTAATGCATCTTGAGTTAACTTTTATATATAGTATAAGGAAGGGGTCCAGTTTCAATCTTCTGCATATGGCTAGCCAGTTATCCCAGCATCATTTATTGAATAGTGAATCTTTTCCCCATTGCTTGTGTGTGTTTGTGTGTGTGCGTGTGTGTGTCTTTCTTTCCTTCTTTCTTCCTTTCTTTTCCTTTCCTTCCTTCCTTTCTTTCTTTCCTTTTTTTTTTTTTTTTTTTTTGAGATAGAGTTTCGTTCTTGTTGCGCAGCCTGGAGTGCAATGGTGCAATCTTGGCTCACCGCAACCTCTGCTTCCCAAGTTCAGGCAATTCTCCTGCCTCAGACTCCCAGGTAGCTGGGATTACAGGCATTCATCACCATGCCTAGCTAATTTTGTATTTTGTTTGTTTATTTGTTTATTTATTTATTTATTTATTTATTTATTTATTTATTTTTTATAGAGATGGGGTTTCTCCATGTTGGTCAGGCTGATTTTGAACTCCTGACCTCAGGAGATCCGCCTGCCTTGGCCTCCCAAAGTGCTAGGATTACAGGCATGAGCCACCACACCCAGCCCCCCATTGCTTGTTTTTGTCAGGTTTGTCAAAGATCAGACAGTTGTAGATGTGTGGTCTTACTTCCGGGTACTCTATTCTGTTCCATTGGCCTATCTATTCTTGGAGCAGTACCATGCTGTTTTGGCTACTGTAGCTCTGTAGTGTAGTTTGAAGTCAGGTAGCATGATGCCTCCAGCTTTGTTATTTTTGCTTATTATTGCCATGGCTCTTTGGGCTCTATTTTGGTTCCATGTGAATTTTAACATAGTTTTTTCCAGTTATGTGAAAAATGTCAATGGTAGTTTAATGGAAATAGCATTAAATCTACAAATTGTTTTGGGCAGTATGGCTATTTTAATACAGTTGATTCTTCTATCCATGAGCATGGAATGTTTTTCCATTTGTTTGTGTCATCTCTGATTTCTTGGGTAGTGTTATGTTGTTCTCTTTATAGAGATCTTTCATCTCGTTAGTTACCTGTATTCCTGGTTATTTTATTCTTTTTGTGGCAATCGTGAATGAGAGTTTGTTTGTGATGTGACTCTTGGTTTGACTGTTGTTGGTGTGTAGGAGTGCTAGTGATTTTTGCATGTTGATTTTGTATCCTGAGACTTGGCTGAAGTTGCCTCTCTGTTTAAGGTGTGTTTTATTCATTCTCTTTACTCTTTCCTTCTGTAGTAACTACTAATCATGTATTTGAATGTTTCTGTTTTTTTCTTACATGCTTAGTACCTTTTTATCTTGTTTTGTGATACAGTTCTTTAAAAGTGTTTTTGGTTATGTCGTTTTCTTCTACCGTACAAGTTGTCCATAGAATTTTTTTGTGAAGTTTTAGAATTTTCATTTCATTGTAATGTGCATATTCTTTTTCCCATGTGATTTCTAGTTATCCCTTTATCTCTTCAGATACTCTCTAGATACTTATTTTAAAGGCTCCTTCAGAATGGCCTTATTTTTCGTTTTTTAGGTGTGAAGTTTTCTTGTTGCTGATATTGATGACTGTTTCTCATGAAGGTTTACTTGCTCATGTGATTTGTTCATTTTGATGTTAAGGTAGCATTTCATGGAAGTCCAGGTCTCAGGACTGTAGAAAATGTCTAGAGAGTAGTTCTATAATTATTTTTTCTTTCTGGGTTTTCCTGGATCTGGACAAATTCTTATTTTATCTTGTCAACACCATACAGACCCCATACTACAATGATAATTTTAATTTGGATCTCAGCCTTGTGGACTTGGTGTTCTTATGTCTCATGAATTATATTTTCTCTTGTGCTTACCTGCTGTATCCTCCCAAGCTAGGGTCAGAATCCATTGCTCTGGCCAGTTAGGGCAGGGGGTCATGGACAAACAGCCCTCTTGACTCCGTCTACATAAAAGGAGCTAAGTGCCAGATCTTCACATAAATATTTCTTGGCCTGAGTTGAGGACCTTGCCCTAAATTTTACCTCTGGCTGGTCTGACATTCCCATGAGTCATTCAGCTTTAGCTTCTGGACTCAACTCTGCCTCTGAGTTTCCTCTTTGTTTCTAAGTTTGGTTGTGTATTAACCACTTTTTGGGTGGGGGAGGTAGAGACACGAAGGGCAGGGATATTTTATTTAGTATTTCTATGTGAGTATAGCAGAAAGAAAAGAAACATTTGTCTTTTCAGCAGGGTGTATTTATCAAAAGTCTGATTATACTCATAATTAAACACAATTTTTGTTTTTCTTTTACAGCTAGTTATGTATCAAATCCCATTTGCAAGGGTTGTTTGTCTTGTTCAAAGGACAATGGGTGCAGCCGATGTCAACAGAAGTTGTTCTTCTTCCTTCGAAGAGAAGGGATGCGCCAGTATGGAGAGTGCCTGCATTCCTGCCCATCTGGGTACTATGGACACCGAGCCCCAGACATGAACAGATGCGCAAGTGAGCATTTGGCTTTGTCTATCCTGTATTGCTGGATATGCAACTTAGGAGAGGAGCTAAGTTGAAGATTTTGACTGATATTTTTTAAAAAATGTAATAGGTGATAGAAATAGTTTAAGCTTGCTGGGTGTGGTGGGTCATGCCTGTAATCCCAGCACTTTGGGAGGCCAAGGTGGGTGGATCACTTGAGGCCAGGAGTTGGAGACCAGTCTGGCCAATATGGGGAAACCCCATCTCTATAAAAATACAAAAATTAGGCATGGTGGTGCACACCTGTAATCCCCGCTACTGGGATGGCTGAGGCACCAAAATCACTTGAACCTAGGAGGTAGAGGTTGCAGTGAGCTGCGGTAGCACCGCTGTGCTCTAGCGTGGGCAACAGAGTGAGTGTCATCTTAAAAAAAAAAAAAAAAAAAAGTCTAAGCTCAAACTTGCAAAAAATGAGTGTAGTAGGATAAGAGCACTTTTACTTTGTTTTGTATAGAACTGTAAGACACAATCATACATACACTCTTTATTTTAGATTATGTAAGTAGTTTTTTAATCACAAGGATCTCAAGCACAATCTTGTTTGACAAATTTTTGTAAAGAGTACTTAGTGCTTATAAAAGAACAAACCACAAAGGAATTTAAGTACTTTATGCTGAGAACAATCTCTCTGGTTTACCAATTTCTATAGCTTCTTTTTCTCTTTTTATGTGAGTTGGCAATCTCGCTAGTCTAACCTGCAATTAAACATATGGTAAAGGTGGTTTCTTTAAGTAGCATTACTGATGTAACTAAAATGTTTAAGTTATTTTAAAGTAATCTGAGGTATAAGTTTAACAACTATTTTAAAAAGTTTAAGGAATGGCATTTTTTACATAGGAATAAGGGTGCAGTTTTTCATCTTTTAATCCAAAAGTCACTTATAGAATGAGTCTCATCTTCTAGGTCAGCCATAGAAATTGTGGTTTAAAAAAAATAAATGAGATACCAAAGGAACATCCCTTTCTTTAAGGAAGTCAAATTTTAGGGGATAGAAGGGATAAGAACAAGGGGACCACAGAATAAAATGACAAATTGTAAGCAGATTATTCATAATTTAATATATTAAGTGCTGTGTCAGTAATCATTAAATCACTCTCATATATATGTATCTATATGAGATAATTAGATCTCATATTTCTGAGAGTGATTTAATGATCTCCTATTAACACACTGTGTATGTGACTATTCAGGCAAGACAGTCTTTAGGTGAGGAGAGTTTGAATTACATCATCCAAGGACAATATTATTTTGGAAGGTGGCAGAACTAGTGGGGGCTGGTTAAATAAATTTAGAAAGAAGGATCCACATATATGTAAAAATAATGTGTTTGGGGAACAAGAACAAGAACCTGGAGTGTTATTTGGCATTTTGGCAATGCAGTTCTCTGTTTCATGGACCTGTCCTACATTGCTGGACATTTAGTGTCCTTGGTCCCTGCCCATTAAATGTCCTTTGTGTCTTCAAACTACTGTTATAAGCAAACGTGTCCCCAAACATTATTAAACACTTCCTGGAAGAGCAGTACGGTAGCTGGATGAAATCCATTGAAGAGCGTATGCCTAGTGGGAGGTGTGGTTGAAATTGAGGATGGAAAAGGAGGCTGCAGTGCAACTGATAAAGGTGTTGCCTGCCAGGCTAAGAAGTCTTGCTATTATCTGAGGTACTGAGTAGGCAGTGAACTAAAGATATTGCTTTAAGATAATTCTAGCAGAAGTGAGGGAGATGAACTGGAGACGAACAAAAAGTAGAGGAAGGCTATTGTAATGAATACAGATTAGAAATCTTGTTCTGATGATTTTTTTGTGGGTAATGAATTGCAGAGGCTTTAAAAATAGAAACAATGGGGCCTGGTAACTACCTGGACAGGGCTAAGAGAAACAATCAAACTTGATCGTAAGGTTTTCTAGCTAAGGTACTGGATGAGGTTATGTCATTAGCAGAGTTAGAAATATTTAGGCTTAGAGGAAACTTGGATCTACCTTCATTTCATGGAATTGTTTGGATTAACATTTAAAGGAAACAACTCCCCACCAGTTAACAGACTGCCTTGCAAATTGTTTGCAAATATGAATTTTGTTCTTAAGGCATATGATTTAGGCTACCTGATAGTTTATCTCTCATAGTTTATAAACTTCCAGAAGGAGATTGGGTCCACCTTGGAAAGGATTCCTGTTCAGATTGCTTTATACTACCTATGGGGGGATGGTTTGAGTCCACAACTTTATTCTTTATGCTTTTCATTCCAGACTACCAGTGCACAAGGAAAACAAGGCAAGAGTGTAGATGGATAGAGGCATTTATTCCAAGTTCTAGAGCTGGCATTGTATGTACTGTATATGGATAATAGGCTGGCCATATAATATATTACTAAATGTGGGACACTGGGAAGTGAAAGGGGTTGTCATTAACAACTATGCAGGGAGATTGGATGTAAACCAGGACCATCCTGTGCAAACTGGTGTGAATGGTCACCTCAGCAATACTTTGTAGTATATGAGTGGAGTCTTCCTTAGAGAGATACTCTCAGGCAGGAGTTAATAGCACATTTTGGCTTAGTTTTCTTTTCTCAGAAATGGAAAGGAGAGCAGTGACTGTAAATCAGCCTTAGAAAGAAAATCTGCATATGAGAAAGGGTTTGCTATGGATAGACTTCTTGTAAGTGAATACAATCAATGTTGGAGTTTACTGACCTAGAGGAAATCGTTACCTGGTACAAGCGGGAAGTGCTATTAACAAGACCCCATTGGAGCAAAGTGAAAAATGGAAAATTATTTCTTATCAGTATATGACTTTGGTTAATCATGTTTCTTTCATACCAATTATTTGCTCTTTTTCATGACTACTTTGCATATATTGCATTGATGTTTGTATTTTGTTTAGGGGATGAGAAAGATTTAAATTGGAAAAGCTGTCACAGACTTAGAATTTGAGATCATATCTACTTTTCACTTCCTTAAAAGATTGTTCCTCAATAGTAGAGAAGAAAATTATACTTTTAGCAATAGTAGCCTAAAAAATCTTGTAAGTGAAACTTGCTCATCTGTTTCCTAATCACTAGAGTGTGATTTCCAATGTAAATTAATCTCCTTCTTTTGAAGGAAGATTTGCTCTCTGAAAAGTTGTCTGAGGTTGGCTTCTTGGTACACATAGTATGAAGCTTATAAACTTCAACCACACTTACGGAAACCAATCCAACAACTATCTGAGTAATTCTGTAAATACATGTACTAACAGACACTAGAAGCTGCCATTGTCCCTGATACTATGTTAGATGTTATTTCATTCATGTTTTTCTCATTCATTAATGAAACCATTTACATAAAACTTTGTTTTTTAAATTGTTCTACATAGTCCTTGCAGAAAGCTTAGAGAAGTACCTAGGCCTAAAAAATGCAAAAGCAAACACTTCTCTCAAAGATAACAACAGTTAACAAGAGATAACAACAGTTAACAAGAGATAACAACAGTTAAAAAAAGATAACAAAAACCGTTTCATCTTCTGTTCTTGACATTTTTGTTTCTATGAGTATTTGTTGTTTTCCTCACCTTAAAAATGTGTCATTGTGTTTTGTAACTTGTTTTAATGAATTATGAACATATTTTCATGCCATTAAATATGGCTGCAAATATTCTACTGAATGATTACATTTAGTTAATTGCCTATTGAAATTTTGGTTTTAATTTTTCATAATTATAAGCAGTTCTGTGAAAAATATCCTTATACATAAATTCTTGCTCTCTCATACACATTTTTACACATTTGCCTGGTTTATTTTTATAAGATGAACGTTTAAACATAATACATGTTTTAAAGATATATATTGACAAATGAATTTCTAGAAAAGTTGTATCAGTTTACATCTTCACTAACAGTGGACATTTTCGCTTGCATCTCTCTGGTTATTAATAACAAGGATAAAACTGCATTTTTGTCTTAATATGCTTTTTCTTTGATACAAATGAAGCTGAACATGTATTTGTCACTTAAATATAGGCATTGTAGGATGTTTACCAGAGTCACTGCCCCCCTTTTCTTCTATTTGCACAACTGTCATGTTTTTAGTTATTAAAAAATAAACTTTTTGATGTATCATGCAGAAATAAATTCACAAATAATAAATGGAGTGTTTAATGAACTATTACAAAATAGATACATTTAACTCCCACTGATGTCAAGAAAGAATGTTAGTACTACCCACTCACTAACTTCCCATTCACTTACTGTCTTCTCCTTTGGCATAACTACTATCTTGACTTGTAAACAAAACACATATAAAACACTATTCATGGAAACACAATTTATTCTAATTACAGCTTGGAAACAACTCAAATGTCCAAACAGTACAATACCTAAAAAATACAGTATATTAATATTGACATTGAACAGAAAGCAAAGAAAAGCCAGGGGAGGAGGCTATGACCGAGTCACTAGGAAAACAGAGAGGATGATGTCCCAGAAGCAGAAGTGGGAAGACTTGAGAAGAAGCAAGTGGTCAATGTTAATGTTGCACTGTCTAAACAATAGAGTGCTGACCTTCATGTGAGCCATTTCATTGTTTTTGTTGGGGCACTATCCTGATTGCTATGGTTTTGGGGAGCACATGGAGTCATAGGAAAGCAGCCAGTGATTATACCACTCGTTCTCTTCTTCCTCTAAGTATATTTAAAAAGAGTATCTGATCACTGGAAGGCTCACACAGATGGGGAAGTTGGTGTGTGTGTGTGTGAGTGTGTGTGTGTGTCTGTGAGTGACAGGAGACATAACTAGGAAAGAGCCAGATGAGGAGGATAGACAAAAAAAAAATGAAGAAACAAGATCACTGAAGGGACAGAAGAGGATAGAGTCTAAAACATAGGTGAGAAAATTAGCCTTGGAAAACATTTATTCAGCAATTTATGAAGTATCTACCTCATGTCAATCAAGGTTAGGGATTCTTTTATGTCAAGTACCAGGAAGGTATCAGAAATAT